CTCTTACCTCCACTTTTTATAGCAAAAGCGTCTATTTTTGTATCTTTCTACCCTGCTCAATTGTACCGTTGTGGGCAAACACTGTATCTCGCTTTTCATTTTACCCACCAGCCTCTAGTCCCACGTCTAGCAAATCCCAGGCTTTTGTCAATATTTGTCAAACCAAACTGACAAAGAATATTCAGAGAGTAGACTCCAGCAGGCAGCCAATGGGGCCTGGCATGCAGCCTTGCACGCATACACTTCTATCAAATGGCAAATCTCTCCTGCAGGGGGGAAGGGGAGTGCAGTTCCTATGTCTACAGCCACTGGAAGCTAACTGGGGCCCTGGATGGTCTACAATAAAGCGAAACATTGTGGTAAAATTGAGTGGCCAAAAGACATACATTCAAGTTATCTACATATGAGTTTGGGCTCTACGAACTCCTTGCCTTATTCTTGGAGTAAATGAATTCAAGGAGACTGACTTACTTTCCCAAAATGTAAAAATAGGGATAAAATATTATTAATCTCAGCTGGGAGCCAGTGGCTCATGCCTGTCATCCTACCTATTCAGCAGGCTGAGATCTGAGGATTGTGGTTAGAAGGTAGCCCAAGCAGACAAATCAAAGAGGCTTTTATCTCCAAATAATTACCCAAAAGTAGAGCTGTAGCACAAGTGGTAGAGCAGCAGCCTTAAGTAAAAAAAAAAGCTAAGAGACAGCACTAGCAGGCCTTGAGTTCAAGTCCCAGTGTTATTTCTCTCTCACACAAAAAATATTATTAATCTCATAGAATTGTTGTAAAAATTAAAATAAGCCAAGTGCTGGTGGCTCACGCCTGTAATCCTAGCTACTCAGGAGGCTGAGATCTGAGGATCGAGGTTCAAAGCCAGCCCAGGCAGGAATGTCTGTGAGACTCTTATCTCTAATTAACCACCAGAAAACTGAAAGTGGCGCTGTGGCTCAAGTGGTAGAGCGCTTGCCTTGAGCTGAACAAGAGCTCAGGGACAGTGCCTAGGCCCAGAGTTCAAGACCCTTGACTGAAAAAACAAAATTAAAATTAGCACTAAGCACACAGTAAGTATATATGTTAATTACTATTGTCAAAATCTTAAAATCTGAGTCTCAAGATATATCTTTGGGTCTAGGTCTCCAAGAGGCTGAAGAGACACCCTGGAGGTTGGATCTGTGTCAATTTTTGTATGGGCCTGGAGCTATGGCATGAAAAAAATGACCATTGGCTTAGTCATAAGACTTTTGGTCATCAGTCCTGTCTCTTCTTCCTGAAATCATTTCCTAGCAGAGATGGAAAAAGAGCAACTAGGAATCCATGAGCATTTTCTACCTTCAAGTCCTGAAATTCGTATAGGTATTTCCTGTTTCCCATGACTTCCTGCCTTATTCTTTTAGTCTTTCCTTCAGCTCATTTGTTTTCTTAGAGAACTGATTTCTGATTTTGGCCCCATGTAGAGCATATTTCCATGAAAACCTGTCACCACCACGTGTCTGCCAAGCCCAGGGAGAACAAAGATCATGGTCCCTCTTTCTCCTGGTGTATAAGATAAATAGGAATCTGACGTGCTAATCAGGCTCCGTGCCTCACATTTCACTCACCTGTGTGTCTCTCACCTCCCACCATGTTGGCTCTTGATTAAAGAACTGCTACAGCTGTGCCTACCATGGTGCTCCTACATGGGGCTTATTAGAATCCACAAAGTGTCAGAGTTTTCAAAGGTCAAGGGAAGAAGTCAGAATCTTCCTTTGTCCACATTTTGAGCAGAAAACTTGTGAGTGGGGGTCCCGGTGCACATCACAGATTGCAAGAGATTGCTCAACCTTTGAATAGGATTCTGAACATCTTGAACCACCCTGCCTGTCCACAGTCAACCTCCTGCCCCCTTTTCTCTGAGTGAGGTCACAGGTAAATCCTTGCTATGATGATCCCCATCCCCGGTATTGAATGTTGAGGCCCACATTCCCCACTGGGAATATGAAACCCTTCTGTCATTCTGGCAGAATACAAAGCCAAGTTAATCCCCAGCTCTTTGGAAGGCAGAGCTTTGTAGTTATAGTATGCAGTATGCACCTTGACATACTGTGCCCTGAAAGGAATTTCTCTCTGAGTATGAGCTTTGGGAATTTAAAGAGGTCTTTAAAAATCTACTCAGGATTTGTCTATTGAGATCTATAGGTATTTCCAAAGCAAACGGCCAAAGCTAACATCTAAAATGGCTTTAAAGAAGCCTGTTGTCTCAGAAAGCTTTCTTGGTGGCTGCATTTGTTCATTCTAAAAGCATACATTGACCGAGCACTTACTAATGACTTAGGATTCCACAATAGAGACAAATTCATCCTAGTTTTTAGTCTTCTATAGTTTCATGGGTGAGTTTGATATTCATTAGTTAATACTGCAAATAAACATTTAATTTCAAAGCTTTTAAAATGCCACAGAGGAAAAGAGTCTCATGAGAGGAAATAAGCAAGGCAGTTGGTCATTTTTTTGGGGGGGTGCACTTAAGCTGAGATGTACTGAATAATTAAGGGTGGGGTGGGGCGCCTCAGTTGCTTGGATGGGAGTTGGCTTGGGAGTTTGTTTCAGCATTTCTTCTTCACTTTGCCTGAATACAAAAAAATCACAAATTGTTTATCTTGTCCTTCTTTTTTTTTTGTGGATCCGGTCGTGGGGCCTGAACTCTGGGCCTGGGCGCTGTCCCTCAGCTCTTCAGCTCAAGGCTAGCGCTCTACCACTTGAGCCACACCACCACTTCCGGCTTTTTTTCTTTTTGCTTATGTGGTGCTGGGGAATCGAACCCAGGGCCTCAGGCATGCAAGGCAAGCGCTCTACCACTGAGCCACCTTCCCAGCCCCTTATCTTGTCCTTTAATACCAAAAAGTAGGGGGAGGATGGGGTAGGGGAGAGGCGGGGGGGAGAGGATGGGAAGGGATGGGAAGGAAAGGAGGAGGCTACAATGCTTGATAAGAAATGTACTCATTATCTTGCCCATGTAATTGTAACCCCTCTGTACAGTATTTTCACAATTAAAAAATACCGAAAAGTAAGGTGCATGCAACTGTAGAACTGAAAGAATAAAAAAGAGTGAGGGTGCAAAGAAAAGCACTCATTTCAGGCATGAATAATGGCATGTGTGAAGGTCCTGAGGTAGGTAGTAACTTACTGTAAACCAGGGGTAGGAAGGAAAAGCCTTTCTGAAGTATGAAAAGAGCAGGTAACAGAGATATGATGTGGGAAGAGAGGAAAGGGGTAGTACAAACAAGGCTTTGCAGGTTATAATAAGGAATCTAGTCTTCAGATCAAGAGCTAGAAAGAGCTACTGAAGATCTTCAAGTAGGAAATTGATATGCTTCAGTGTTCTGTTTTTCCAAGATTACTATGGCTATAGGAGGAAAGGTGGAACTGATACTCCATTCTCTCAAGAGTTGGAGTGGTGAGTTCATTTGGGAGGTAAAGAGTGATTCTGGCTTGGGCTATGTTAGTGACAGGGAAGATGGAATGAATGTTGATAGAACTTAGTGCAGGGTTAGATAAGGAGGGACAGGAGATAGAGGAAGGCTGAAAACACCTGATTTCTGGCATGACTAGCCAGGTAAATAAAAGTACTATCTACAGATAGGAAATGGAGAAAGAGGAGCAGATATGGAGAACAAAGATTTTGAATCTTTTACAGTACCATACAAATGTAAATCAGCATCCCTTTATAACTAGAATAGAAGAGGGGAAAAGTAGACAGGTTAGATTTGTTTACTTATTTATTGTGTATGTGTTGGTGTGTGTGTGCCAGTACTGTGTGTGCTTGAACTCAGAGCATCATGATGGCTTGGCCTTTTGGCTCAAAGCCAGTGTTTTCTCATTGGAGCCACAGTTCCACTTCTGGCTTTTTGCTAGTTAATTGAAGATAAGAGTCTCACAGACTTTTCTGCCTGAGCTGGCTTTGAACCATGATCCTCAGATCTCAGTCTCCCAAGTAGCTAGGATTACAGGCATAAACTACTAGCATCAGCTTATTATTATTTTTTTAAAAAGCGATTGCATGTTTATTTCCAATCATATTCTCTCTGGGCAGTGAGTAGAAAGGTGAGTTTCAACTAGATCGCCTCCTGTTCTTCTGAACTCACGATCTCTTTTTAGTGGCCTGAGGTCAGCAGATGATTGTGGTACCTCCAAATCTGTCTCCAGTTTAAAAAAAATATTTGAGATCTGTTTACATTTTTGTTAATATTTTCTACCACCAGAACCTTTGCATATTTGGAATTTATGTGGCTTATTGATCTCTTTCTTCCCATAACTGACTATCTAAGCTGTTCCTAGCACATTTTACTGGAGGACTAGCAGCTGCTGTGGAGTGAGTCTTGGGCTAGCACTGTGGTAAAGCCACAGCTTTAGATTACCAAAGTGTATGCAGCATTCACAAAGAATCAATTCTCTTTGTTTCCTAAGACATCTCATTAGCTTGCCTCCAAAAATTTTGCACTGGGGGAAAGAATTTACTGCAAACCTCACAGCAAAGATATTCTATTTTTTGGTGGGGGAGAGAGGTGGAAATGATCCCACAAAACAATCCCGTACGTACTCCTGCAATTGTGTTAAGTAAAATTCTCTAGTCTGATCACAGTCCAGTAAGGGAGACTAAAAACTCTAGAAACAGTGCAAGTGGGGACCAAGATTCAGGCTGTAGGAATCCTAGTTTAGGTTGGTTCTAGGCAACAGTGGGGCAGAAGAAACGATTAGAAGTGCATCTCTTGGGTTTCCATCCCCAGTAGCCTCAGCGATTTCAAGCCATTCTTCAACTGGGTCTCCACCAGATGGTTGTGAGGACAGAGCAGCGATTAGTGCCTCCCATTGACATCTATTTTTCCAAGTGAGAGACAGCCCCATATGTCAGCACAATATGTCGCTTGAGGTGAAACATCCGTTTGTGTTGGTGGGAGCCTGCTATGTGGTACCCCTCTTTCCTCAAGCCTTTTCCTGCCTCTCTCATTTGTTATTTGTTTTCCCCCTAGGTCTCAGGCCTGTCTGGACCCTTGGTGCTGCGGTGGAAGTGAGCATCTAAGTCTTGTGTATGGCGTGGTTAAGGTTGCAGCCTCTCACCTCTGCCTTCCTCCATTTTGGGCTGGTTACTTTTGTGCTCTTTCTGAATGGTCTTCGGGCAGAGGCTGGTGGCTTGGGAGATGTGGCCAGCACAGGGCCGAACAATGAGTCCTGTTCAGGGTCGTCGGAGTGCAAAGAGGGGGTCATCCTACCCATCTGGTATCCAGAGAACCCTTCCCTGGGGGACAAGATTGCCAGGGTCATCGTCTATTTCGTGGCCCTGATATACATGTTCCTTGGGGTGTCCATCATTGCTGACCGCTTCATGGCATCTATTGAAGTCATCACCTCTCAAGAGAGGGAGGTGACCATCAAAAAGCCCAATGGAGAGACCACCACCACGACGATTCGGGTCTGGAATGAGACTGTTTCTAACCTGACCCTGATGGCCCTGGGTTCTTCCGCTCCAGAGATTCTGCTTTCTTTAATTGAGGTGTGCGGCCATGGGTTCATTGCTGGTGACCTGGGACCTTCTACCATCGTAGGCAGTGCAGCCTTCAACATGTTCATCATTATTGGTATCTGCGTCTACGTGATCCCTGATGGAGAGACTCGCAAAATCAAGCACCTGCGAGTCTTCTTCGTCACTGCTGCTTGGAGTATCTTTGCCTATATCTGGCTCTATATGATCCTGGCAGTCTTCTCTCCCGGGGTGGTCCAAGTTTGGGAAGGCCTCCTCACTCTCTTCTTCTTTCCAGTGTGTGTCCTTCTGGCCTGGGTGGCAGATAAACGACTGCTCTTCTACAAGTACATGCACAAAAAATACCGCACAGATAAACACCGAGGGATTATCATAGAGACGGAGGGTGACCACCCGAAGGGCATTGAGATGGATGGGAAAATGCTGAATTCCCACTTCCTAGATGGGAACCTCGTGCCCTTGGAAGGGAAGGAGGTGGATGAGTCTCGCAGGGAGATGATCCGTATTCTCAAGGATCTGAAACAAAAACACCCAGAGAAGGACTTAGATCAGCTGGTGGAGATGGCCAATTACTATGCTCTTTCCCACCAACAGAAGAGCCGCGCCTTCTACCGGATCCAAGCCACCCGAATGATGACCGGTGCAGGCAATATCTTGAAGAAGCATGCGGCAGAGCAAGCCAAGAAGACTTCCAGTATGAGCGAGGTGCACACCGATGAGCCCGAGGACTTTGTCTCCAAGGTCTTCTTTGACCCGTGTTCTTATCAGTGCTTGGAGAACTGTGGGGCTGTACTCCTGACTGTGGTGAGGAAAGGGGGAGACATGTCCAGAACCATGTATGTGGACTACAAAACAGAAGACGGTTCTGCCAATGCGGGAGCTGACTACGAGTTCACAGAGGGCACTGTGGTTCTGAAGCCAGGAGAGACCCAGAAGGAGTTCTCCGTGGGCATCATTGACGATGACATTTTTGAAGAGGATGAACACTTTTTTGTGAGGCTGAGCAATGTCCGAGTAGAAGAGGAACAAGTGGAGGAGGGAATGCCTCCCGTCATGCTCAACAGTCTTCCCTTGCCTCGGGCCATTCTCGCTTCCCCTTGTGTGGCCACGGTTACCATCTTGGATGATGACCATGCGGGCATCTTCACTTTTGAATGTGATACCATTCATGTCAGTGAAAGTATTGGTGTTATGGAGGTCAAGGTTCTGCGGACCTCTGGTGCTCGGGGCACAGTCATCATCCCTTTTAGGACAGTGGAAGGGACAGCCAAGGGTGGTGGTGAGGACTTTGAAGACGCATATGGGGAGCTGGAATTCAAGAATGATGAAACAGTGTAAGTAACCCGGCCTCCCTGCCCCCTCTCCCACCCTCTGCCATCTCTTTCTGTTCCTCTGCACTATTCTTCACAGCTCTTTCTTGTGACTGTGTTAATAGCAAACTTTGGTTTCATCACAGGCATGCAGGATGAGCAGATGCTACTGGACAGGCCCTGCTTTCAAACTCTCCTTCTGTTTCTCACTTTAAGTTTTCTGGGCAAGGAGGAATCCTATGACAGGATCTCAGGACGGAGAATGTTTGTGTGCAATTGAAATGGGAGATGATGGCTGACAAAACTTCTGTCTTAATCAGACTTTGGAGACTGTTGTAAGCAAGCAAGCAAGAGCCAGCAAACTGCTTGGGCTTCTCCTTCCTCCTCATTTCCCATCAAGGGCTCTGAGCTTTGAAGCCAAACCCTTATTATTACTAGAATAGCCATAGCCCAATCAGAAGAGTCTCAAGAAAATAAGTGGCATTGGCTTTTCATCCAGTACCATATTGTGTTATATAGCCAAATTGCAGGCACCAGTCTTTCAATCTGGATATTGAACAATTGATTGAAATTTGGCAATCTCTTCACCTGTCCATAGGCTATTTTATGGAGCAAGGTTTGGTGAGTCAGGTGAGATGAGGTAGCCTCATCTGAGTCAGAATCTGGAGGTTATCTTGGAGAAGCGGAGCTTCTCAAGGTCACAGCCTCCTGTCAGGTTTCATGTCTATAAACTCCAAAATATGGGTATTTAGTGATGGAGAAGACTCTTAGGAATTGTGGGAGAAAGTATATCTTCTGGGTGATTCTTTCTCTGCACAGCCCAGGACTCTTGAAATGCTTCCCTGATTACTACTCCATTCAGTCCTTCAGACACTGCAGGTTTTGACAGGTCTACTGTGTCTATTGTCCTAAGGCGTCTCTCCATGGGAACCTTCTTGTGAATTGGACACTGTCTTTGTGTCAGGTGGGTAGCTTTGAAAAGAGAAAGCGGAAAGGCTTGCCTCAGAATGCACAGACTTTGCAGTGTCTTACTTCCTGTTCCTCTCCTCAAGCAATGAGCAATAGCAGGAGATAATATGAAAAATAAAAGCAGGCGGCATGTCACACTGCTCCAGGAACTTGCTCATTTTACTTTCCATGGGAAAGGAAACCGTAGGCCCCAAAGTGAGGTGTTCCAAAAGCGCTGCTTCTCACGTGGAGTCATGGGACGCAGTTCCCAAAGGGTTGGGTTCTCACCCATTGCCTTCCCAGTGGTGTGACTTTGTGCAAGTCATTTGGTAACTTCTGAACTAAACTCTCTCAGATGCCAAGTAGGAATAACAATACTTTCCTGTGCCTGGAGGTAAAGTCAGATTGTTCTGCAGCTACTTCTAGTTCTAAGACTTTCTGAACCATGGAAGTGGGTGCTCTGTTACAAGTCATATTTGCACTAGTCCCCCCCGCCCCTCCAAAAAGGAATAAGGACAATTGTCTCCTGAAGGGAAATAGCCATTGACAAATTGATTTATTAGAGCTCTGGTTAGTCATTTTGCTGGGAAGGATAATCATTTGTTAGCATAAGTAAAAACCTGCTCCTTTTAGAGACTACCATCCATTTATATATGCTTTGAAGAGAGAGTTCATGCATATCAATGAAGACCAGGCCCTGGCTGGGAAGGCTAACTGAAATTTCACACATTTATAGTGATATTAGTATCTGAGAGTATATTGCCAGGTATTCAATGATATGAAGATCACAATTTTCCTGTAATTTACCAACAGACCCATGGTCTCTCTGATTCAATACCTATTGTTTTGGGGGAGTCAGAGGCTTGGTTCCAATTCCTTCATTCTGTTGTTAATAATCAATTAATTACGCAGTAGGATTTCCGAGTATGACTACACCTTCCTCAAACTTACTTGTGCCTTGTTTGTATAGTATCTTGGTGTAAATGAGCTTGTGAATGACTTGATATTTCTTCCAAATGTATGCCAGCTTCCAGAAGTTTGAAATGCTTATCCAGATAGTTTAAGGTTTGGTTAAACAAACAAACATGCTCCCATTTACTCCCTTCTACTACTTTATTGACTTCAATATAGTTGATCCTTTGGGTCTTCTTTTTTATTATTAGCAAACATTAGTGTACCAGAAAGGTTTGATTGTGACATTTCCACGCATATGTACAAATGTACAATGTCTCTCATCCCCTATATTACTCTCCCATCCCCATTCCTCCCTTTTGATCTTTTTTTTTTAAATTTAGAACTCCAGCTCTTTTACTGTTTGGAGTACTAATCTATGAGGTTATTTCCCTATGGGAATAGTATCTCTCTGGCATGGCTACTTTGATGATTGAAGGTACTGTATACCTAGTGCCTATAATGTACTTCATAGCAGTATTGGTGAATTAGCAATAGTCTCAGAACACACTGTCTGGGTGATCAGATTACCTGGATCTCTGTGTGACCTTAATTAATAATGCTAGTTATTTGCTCAGCATGAAGAATCCTTACCTAAACTCATGAAATAATAGATCCCCAAAGGTCCTTTGATTATATTTCCTAAATGTTAATGTGCTTATCAATTGCTAAAGTACAGATTATGATTCAGAAGGTTTAGGGTAAAGCTTGAGATGTGCCTTTCTAAAAAGCTCCTGCTGCTTCCAGTCTCATCTTAAAATTGGGATCCAAAAAAGAGTGGCTTTTCAAATGGCTTGCCTAACGGAATCATGAATGCTTACTTTCCAGTCCCAACTTTCTATCCCAAGTTAGAAAGAACCCAGCTCTTACAGAGGCCCTGCTAATTGCAAGACCAATCTGGGAACTGAAATGGAAACCACCAGGGCACTTGGAAGGAACAGTGTGATACTTGGAACAATCCCTCTTTCCAACTCTAGCCCTTTGAGAAGCTTTATTTGCCTGCCTTGCTGGCAGTGTGGAACTCTTGCCATGGCCATGGTCCCTTAAATATGATCAAGATGTAAGGCAGCACTGAACCCCTGAATTCAAAAGTGCCCTTTAGAGTGTGGTGGGATGAAAGACATGGACTTTGGAACCTAGTGAACAGATGCAAATCATCACTCACCATCTTCATAAAGCTGAAGTAGTCTCCTGTCCAAATTCCAGGGTTCTTTTTTGTTGGAATGATAGAAATAATAATATCTACATGTTTGCAAGGGAGTGATGAGTTCCAAATACAAATATGAAAAAAATGAACCTTTAGCACAGTGCTTTCTAATAGAAGGTGCTCAGTCATTCAACAAACATTTGTTAAAGATTTGCTATATACTGAGTACATTTTTAGGCAACATTGGATAAATAATGAGTAAGACAACTTGGCATTTCATTACTGAAGATCTTATTCTCAAGAGGAGAGTATCCAGGTATCTATCTATCTATCTATCCATCCACATGCGAATCCAGCACATTGGAGAAGGGTATGGTTGTTGTAGATTCAATAAAAAAGGAATGAGCCAGGTGTGATGGATCATGTCTTGTAATGCTAGCTACTCAGAAGGCTGAGATCTGAGGATCATGGATTGAGGCCAGCTCGGGCAGAAAAGTCCATGAGACTCTTTTCTCCTATCAGTTACTTGCTGGAAGTTGAGATGTGGCTCAAGTGATAAAGTTCCAGTCTTGAGTGATAAAAAGCTAAGTTAGAAGGCAAGACTCTGAATTCAAGCCCTAATCCTGGCACAAAATAAATACATAAATAAAAGAGGAACAGGAGCTCTCTGTTGTGTGTCACAACTATCTGTTGTGACACCACTGAAGTGTATAAAGTACCCTTCATAGAGGACATAGTAGTGATGGAGGTGGAGTGAGGTCATGTGAGAAACTTGTATCTACATTACAATAAACCCTGACATTTGCAAGCAGCAGTGTTGACATCTTCATATTGAGAATAATCCTCACTTGTATGACTATCATTATGGTACTTTGGGAGAATTATGGCCTGGGAGACTCCAGCATACATGTAACAAACTCTCATGGAGAAAGGATTTTTGCCTGCATGCTAATTTCTCTCATTAAACAAGCGACTGATTCCTACCTCCCAGGCTCACACAGCACGCTTCTGCAAAATAACAGATTATTGCGGCTCAAAGACCTCTGGGGTCTCTGGGAATAGTCAAAGCCACAGATGTCAAATATGCAAATACCATGATCCACAATAATTAAATAGCAAGGCTTCCTTCAGAGAAGAGTAGAGTAGCAGCTCTGCTTCACATCTCCTAACCAAATCAGAATGCAAAAGCTGGAAGGTGTCTGACTTCCCATTTTACACATTGTAAAGTTCACATTCGGAGGGAAAATGACTTGTCCAATATCACACAACTAGTTGATAGGAGGTCAGGGGTGGAAAGGACTTGAGAAACTACTGATCCCCTTTTGGACTTTTCTCTTACTTTTGCTCATCAGTAACTTTGCAAAGACGAGCAGTGTGTATGTGAAAGATGCTCTAAAAGTATAACTATGGGAGACTCATAGGACTGTAATAATATAGACTATTTCTAATCTCTTGGTTCAACTTGAGACTGACCAAGAAGGAAGATAATAAGACCAGCAAGGTTTTCTTTTGTATTATTATTGTTGTTGTTACCATTTTCTGGTTGTTCAGGTCAAACTTTCCTTGTTCACTCACAAGAAATATTGGAGGACCAAAGCAAGGCATGTCAGCGAGGAGGCTCTTCCTGGTAACCCAGCTTCCTGGATATATATGGATAAAACATGAGCTCATTTCCTCTGTCCTTTGACCATGCCCCCATCAACCCAGTAAAGAAGGTAGTAGGGTTGTGGTCCCTAACTTTTTCAAGACATTGTTTTCAAGATACTTAAAACCATTTATTGTAAAGGTGATATACAGAAGGTTTACATATGTCCGGTAGTATGTATATTTCTTTTTGAACAGTGTCTGCACTTTTTTTGGTCAGTTGTGGGGCTTGAACTCTGGGCCTGCACGTGGTTCTTGAGCTCTTCAGCACAAAGTTCTACCACTTGAGCTGTAGCGCCACTTTGGTTTTCTGGTGGTTAATTGGATATAAGAG